CACCCGAGAACCAGATCTACTGGGCGCAGATCTTCGTCTCTATGATCATCATGCCCTTTGGCATGGACATGAGCTTCCCCGCCGCGACGCTGATCCTGTCGAATGCCGTCAAGAAGGAGCACCAGGGCATTGGAGCGAGTCTGGTCAACACGGTGGTCAACTACGGCATCGCGCTCGGCGTCGGGTTCGCGGGCACGGTGGAGGTGCACGTCAGCAAGGGCACGGGGACCAAGGAGGAGCAGTTCAGGGGATTCCGGGGCGCGTTGTACATGGGTGTCGGGCTTGCTGGGCTGGGATTGTGTGTTGCGTTGACGTTTTTGGCGAGGGAGTGGCGGCATCGTAAAGGCGGCTCAGGCAACGAGGAGAAGGCTGCCGAGGCGCAGACGGGAAGCTCATGATGAGACGTGCATAGAATAGATGAGGCAGCTGCTCGGCGCAGTCATAGACTAGATGATGATAGACAACAAGTTTTGTTCACAAATGGGGTACTACGAAGTTGACTATGTGATGTGAAGCTTTGCGTATCTCCGGGGTCAGTAAATGCCGTGACCAATCCCAGGGAATAGACAGACAGCTAACACCTTCTCTTATTCTTTAACGAGCAAAACTGACCACTGGTGAGCCCCTTGCGCCCCGATCGACCGAGGAGGATCAGGAGGTTGGAGTGGTCACTGTCTTCTCCGTCTTGTCGCTTCTCGACTAAAGTGAGACCTCAGATCTGAAGTTTTCTTTGATGTCTTGCCCGCGTTCACCAACTATCATTCAGATACGTCTCTTGCGATCCAGATATCCGGAGTTCATATGTCCACAAAAGGAGGGTAAAAAGAGGGTCAAGTGGTGGTGAGTGAACCCGTGGAGTCCGTTAAGAAGAGAGAGAGAGAGAAAAGATTGCATCCTATTTTTTGGTATCCAGTTGATGCTCGCTGCCAACCAAACAAGATGCTCCAATCCAAACGCCATGCTATTGTTGAAGTTTAGCAAACCTCACATCTCCGCCGCCTTGTTCCTCTAGTTACTTACCCCTTTCCTCACCTTCGACGTACGCCCCCATAAGGCCTAGAGCCTCACTTCCCAGTCCGGCTCCGAAGCGTCTTCAAGCCCGTCTTATGCTCCGTATGCTTCTTACTCAACTGCACCTGTCTCACAAACAAACTCAGAACAAGCCCGAGTCCAGCAAACGCAACATAAACGATATACATCGTCCTCAGAGAACTCAGATACGCTCCGCGCGCAATCTGCCCTTGCTCTCCCTGCAAATCCGCCACCACGCCCACACTAGACGCGGCGCTCGACCCAGAGAGCATATTCGCCAACTCGGGACCAAGCTCCTCCCTCAGCCGCGGGTACTGCCTCTGCATCTCATTATTAAACACCACACCACCAATAACCACAGAGATCGACGTGCCCATCTGCCGAATAAACCCAAACGCCGACGTCGCGGCCGCGATATCGCGCGGCTCTACCGACGTCTGCACCGCAATCAGCGGGCTCTGGAAATTAGGCCCGATACCGAGCCCCGCGACGATCTGGTAGAGGATAATCTTGGTGAAGTTCCGGTCGAGCGGGAGGTCGTGGAACAACCCAAACCCAACGGTCGTGACGAGCATGCCGCCGATGATGAGGTAGACGTAGTTGCCCGTCTTGCGGATCAGCACGCCCGCGACGGCAGACATGAGGGACAGCGAGAGGACGTAGGGGAGCAGGTAGACGCCCGAGAGGAGGGAGGAGACGCCCTGCACGCCCTGGAAGTAGAGCGGCAGCCAGTAGCTGCCCGAAATGAAGGCGAAGGCGTGGCAGAAGGCCGTCGCGAAGGCGGCCATGTTGGACCAGCTGCGGAAGAGGTGCATCGGGATGACGGGGTACCGCGCGTACTTCCACTCGTTGACCGCGAAGATCCCAATCGTGACGATACCAAATACAATGAGACAGATAACAGTAGGCGAGCTCCACGGGTACTGAACGCCGCCGAACTCAAGGCCGAAAAGAAACATGAGCGTGCCGCCGATAATGGTAAGCGTGCCGACCCAGTCGATCGCCTTCAGGCCCTGCGCTACGGGCGTCCGCGGGTTGTGCAGTTTGAGGACGAAGAAGAGCACAACGAAGCCGACGCCCGAGATGGGCAGGTTGACGTAGAAGCACCAGCGCCAGGTGGCTTTACTCGTGAAGACGCCGCCGAGGACGGGCCCGATGGCGCTCGAGACGGCCCAGACCATGCCCATGACGCCGAAGTAGACGCCGCGCTGGCGCATCGAGAAGAGGTCGCTTACGCAGATGTTGACGAGGACAATGATGCCGCCGCCGCCTATGCCCTGGATCGCGCGGGCGCCGATGAGCATGCTGTGTGATGTTAGCAACTTCCATACGCCATTTTCTAGTCTGAAGCTCTCAAGGCTTACCCCATGCTCGTAGACAACCCACAAATCAAAGACCCGACCCAAAACACACCAACGGCGCATAGCAGAATCGGCTTCCGGCCCCAGATATCAGAAATCTTGCCCCACGTCGGCACGAAAGCCGCATTGCTGAGGAGGTACGCCGAACCGATCCAGATGTAGCCGATATTGCTATTAAACTCCTCTGCAATCGTCGGCACGGCGGTCGTGATGATGGTAACGTCCAGCGCCGCCAGAAACAGCGCCGCGCAGAGCGAGAGCACGATGAGCGTCGTCTCGAGCTTTGTGCGGCCGGCCTCGGGCGTGTCTTCGGCGCCGGCCGCCGCTGCCGGTGGTGGTCCCTGCGCCGCTGCCGTGGCTTGTGTTTCGGGCGCGGCCTCTTTTGTGTCGCTGGGGGCCGTCACATGGCCTGTTGTCGCCGTTGTGGCAGTGGCGTTGTGGGAGAGTTCCTGTTCTTCCGCCTTGATGTTCGTCGCGTCGGGGTTGCTGCGGATCGTCACCGAGTCGCTGCTGGTGATCGTGGGAGATCCATCTTCGGTCTGGGAGCCGGCGGCGCGTTCAATGTCGCCGACTTTTTCGTCGTCGTGGACCTCGTGCGAGTGTTTTGCTGTCATCTGTGCTTCGCTATGCTGGACGATGGTCTTGGCGGTATAGGAATGTCGTGTGAAGGTTGTATGCTTGTCTCAAGAGCTCAATCTGTTCTCGGGATGCTGAGCGAGAGACTGGTGATTCATGGAAGGACGTGGTGAGTCTAAAGGTAGCTAGCTGAGTTGGACCTTTCAAGGTGAGGATTGAAAGAGATCACCAGCTTCGTGCAAAGAGAGAAACACGGTGAGGCGACAATAGATACAAATTGCTGAAATTGGGTATTATTCAGTGAGTGACGATCTTCAGCTACAGCTAGTGAGAAGAAATCCGTAGCAACAGTCAGTCCGTCATGGTTGTCAAGAGGAAGAGTCAACAGTCACAGAAGAGAAACGAAAGAAAAATAACGAGCGAAAGGCGCAACAAATTTCCATTACGAATCCAAAGTCGATGACAAGCACCTCCACATGCGCTCCAACCTGTACCCTCCCCTGGTCCCATGGCGAGGAAAAAGTGGACGTAAAGGGACTGGTCTCGAAGCAGCTAAGAGCAAGGGGTGTGGGATCTAAAGCATCCAAGGCTGGGGTAAGTGAAAATCGTGTGTAATAGTGTACTTCCTAAGGTAGTATGGGGGTGGAAAGACGCGAGAGCGACGAGAGCCGAGAGAATGTCGACTGTTGCCGCGTTGCCGAATCGGCAAAAGTTGATTGACTCAACGACTACACTAAAACATGGATACGGATAGACAACTCGTGCTGGGGCTAATGCGACATCGGATTTAACCAGCACAAGCTCGGCGCGAGAGCCGGTGAGAATGTCAGTTCACACTTTATGTCTAGTACTTTTTATCCGAAGTTTCTGTCCATAGACTTATCAAGCATCTCTCGGAGCAGTTCGTCCTGGTTCATATGACTCTGCCCGATTGGTTTATGTGAATGTTGAGTCCCCAAACGAGTTGGTGTTCTTATTCTCCACCACCCGAAGCCGAAGCCGAACTACCCTACGAGGAAGCTAAAGACTGCTAAACTGTTCATTCAATCCTATGGATCTGTTGACTTATCCCACCTGGACCGTGCCGTCATCCGCGAGACATCTGCTAGATTCCAGTGAAGACTTGGTAATCAGTCATCAACATCAACTCATAGGTGCTCACGTATCATGGTCTCCATCCTTGATACATCTGCAACGGCGACATTTACGATCCTGCGACCCTGCGACTTGGAAGCCGAGATCGCAGACAGCAACACCTTTGCGAGGGGATGAGGGATTGTGCAAGAAGTTTGAACAAGTGCCAGGGTCCTCCCTTGCCCCCACCTCGGCTGTTCCCCCGCAATGGAAGGCTTATCCTTGGTTGTCGGAATGCTTGTCATCATCACTGGATGTCTGCGATCGGGTTCATCTTTGTGTGTAGTGGTGTTGTCTATCGGCTGCTTCTCTGTTTATTACGTAGTTGGAGGATTAGCCATTTCTCTTATGCCGATAGACTGGGAGGATTATAGGGACGACTGTGGATGTTATAGATCACCTTGAGAATGATGCTAGAATATCTACCCGCCAAGCCACGAAACAGATACCCAGCTTCTGCAGCAGCACAGCCCGTCTTCTCGGAGCATAGTAGATGGAGCGTCAAACTCAGTCACTAGTGCTCGATACACTCGTATTGCGAATTATAGCACATGCATCTCAATACTACTTTACAAAGTAACCCAACCAGTAAAAGTGATACAAACATGCGTGACTGACAGACCTCAGAGTGGAGTTCCAAGCCTCCCTTGAACCGTCACTCATCTCAAGTGGGAACTCTCACAAACCACCAACCTAATTTCAGCCTCAACCACCACCACCAAACTCACAAACAATGCTTCTTTCAACGTCGTAATCACCCACAACCCCGTTCCGCTCACCTCTCTCCAGTATCCCACACTCATGAGGCTCTTCTTCCGCCCAACCCAAGCCTCAGCCTCATTACGACTCATAAAACACCCCTTCAATAATCCCTCCTCATCAAGACTCATCACCACAATGTCCTCCCCATCACCGGCACCATCACGGTCTTACACCGACGCAATCAACCTCCTAAACACCCTCATCCCAAACCTCAAAGTCCACGCCCTCTTCAACAAACCCAAAGATGCCGCTCCCACCACCGCAGCACCAGCAACAGACCCAAACCTCCTCGCCATACCCGAAATGCGCGCCTGGCTCCTCCGCGCAAACTTAACCCCCGAACGCCTCTCCTCCCTCTCGTTCATCCACATCGCAGGCACAAAAGGGAAAGGCTCCGTAACAGCCCTCACGACCTCGGCCCTCCTCAACCGCTCATCCTCATCCCCTCCCACGACGCAAATAGGTCCCATAGGAACCTACACCTCCCCCCACCTCCTCTCCCCCCGCGAACGCATCGCGATCTCCAACACCCCCATCTCCCAAACCCTCTTCACAACATCCTTCTTCGAACTCTGGGACACCCTCTCCTCCTGCGCCTCTTCGGCCCCCGGCGGCAGCGCCAGCGATGGCCCAGACCTCGGCATCGAACCAGGCTCCAAACCCTTCTACTTCCGCTTCCTCACCCTCCTCGCCCTCCACATCTTCCTCAAACTCCGCGTCCGCACCGTGGTGTTGGAATGCGGCATCGGCGGCGAATACGACGCCACAAACGCCATCCCCGCCGAGGCAGTAACGACGTCAGTCATCACGCAGCTGGGCATAGATCACGTCGCCATGTTAGGCTCCACTGCCTCGCAAATAGCATGGCATAAAGCAGGCGTGATGAAACCCGGCGTCGCAACCTTCACCCGCAAACTATCTGATGAGGTACACCAGGGCGTAATGTCCACCCTCCGCTCCCGCGCGCAAGAGATAGGCGCGGAGCTGATCGAGGTGGAAGACGAGGACGTCGTCGCGTGGAGCGGTGTACCGGGCGCCAAATTACCCGGCGGAGACTTGCAGAAGAGGAACCAGGCTCTCGCTGCGCTTGCTGCGAGGCGCCATGTCCAGGTCCTTCAAGCCCGGGAAGCGGGGTCAAAGACCGTGGGGGAGGTGGATGCTTCGCTGGCTGATGTACCTGAAGTCATCATCGCCGGTCTCCGCGAGGCGACGCTCCGCGGCCGGCATGAAGTTCTCAGACAGGGTAGCGTATCGTGGTACCTCGACGGCGCGCATAACGCGGATAGTCTGGCGGAAGTGGCGCGCTGGATTTCGCCCATCATCACCACCACAACCTCCTTAGACACCGCGAACAATAACGAAAGCTTCATCCTCGTCTTCAACCAACAAGAACGCGACGCCCCCGCTCTGTTGATTAATCTACTGCGGCAGATGAAAGCGTTGGGCGTAGACCTCGAGACGAGGCTGGCCGCCGCCGTCTTCACCAGGAACGATAAGACCAATATCGCCGGCGAGGGCGGGGACGTGGATCTGATTGTGCAGGAGGCGTGTGCCGCAGCATGTAGGGAGATGTGTCCTGCTACAAAGGCCGTGGTGTGCAAGGACCTGACGGAGATGAAGAGCTCCGTTGATGGCGTCGCGAGGCTGTCGTCGTCGGGGACGAAGGTGCTGGTCACGGGGAGCATGTATCTTGTTGGAAACGTCATCGGCTTGTTGGAGCCGGAAGGTGTATTGTGACCTCACCTAGAAGAGAAGGCCAATGACTATAGAAAATATAAATCTAGAGTTGAATCCGTGAGGACATATCTGTTCGTGCCCCTATAGAAAGCCGTTGTTAAACCCCATTCTATCCCATAAGACCCCATACTCTTTAGAGTCAAACGCAAAAGCAATATAAATACTCCGCCCCCTTTAAAAATCTACAAAGCATCCGCGCCCTCTAGGATACCCAGCGCGCCACCGACGAGATGCAAGCTCCCCGTCACGAGAGCCTGCACGCTCTCCCCCTCCGGCAGGCCCTCACCGACGCTCCGGACGTGGTTCAACGCCTCTTCGATAGTCGGTATGACGCGTACGTCGGCATGGGGATCCAGCTTGGACCAGCGCTCCGCAAACTGCCTCTGCACCGTCATGGCCTCGATGGCTTTGGCGTCGTACTGGTGGTTGACGAAGTCTACGAGATCCATCTGTCAGCATCTTACTCTCATCCAAATGTTCTCGACCATCCCAAAGATGATTGAGGGGGAAAGGGGGGCTCACCTCGCTTATACCCAGTCTGGGCATACGTAACATTCGTACAAAACACCACACTCTCAAACGCCCGCCCATCCTCCCTCCTGATAGCCTCATACATGCCATCCAAAAAGTCAATCGCCTCCGTCCGGCCCTGCTGATTAAACACCAACGCCCTCGGCCCCTTCTTCCCTCTACTCGCACTCTCATCCACATACCACCGCGCCGCCATCCTCAGACTATCCGTCGTATGCGCCCCGTCAACGTACCACGCAACAGCTCCCTCCTCCTTGACCTCGCACCGTCCCCTCCACACAACCCCCTCCAACCCCTCCACAAACGGCTTCGACAACCTCTCCGGATCCCTCTTGAACTCAGGATCAACCCTCTCCAGCGCAGTCTCCGCAAGCCTGACCGCCAAACTCGCATTCCTCTTCTGAAACACCGCATCAGGACGAATCTTAACACCCTCCAACCTCGGATCAACACCAACAACCTCCATCTCGATCCCCTTCTCCCTCGCCCGTTCCTCCAACACCCCCGCCGCCCCAGCAACCTGCTCAACAGTAAACCCCTTACTGCCCGTCTTCATAATCCCCCCCTTATGCCACGCAATCTTCTCCACCGTATCCCCCAGCGCAAAAACATGATCGATCCCCAACGTCGTAATCCCCGTCGCAACAGGCCTTCCCACGAGATTCGTAGCATCGTACTCCCCTCCGATCCCCGTCTCCAGAATCGCAACATCACACCCCTCACTCAAGAAAGCATGAAAGCTCACAAGCGTCAAATACCTCGAATAAATAGGCCTCGTCCCAACCGCAACAACCTCTTCTTGAATCTTATTCTCCTCCCCCAACCGATCCCACACCTCAAAGAAATACCGCGCAAACAGCGCCTCAGATATCGGCACGCCATTAATCCGTATCCGTTCCCTCACCGCAATCAAATGCGGCGAGATCAACAACCCGACCTTCCGCGGTATCGACTTGGGCGAAGCGGCGCGGTGCCGCGCGAGAATGGAGTCCGTGAAGGCGCAGGTGCTTCCTTTCCCCTTTGTCCCCGCGACATGAATCACGTTGAGGCTGTCGAGGTCAGAGACGGAGTAGCCCACGCGCGCGAGGTACGCTCGCATCTCGGCGACGGAGGCTTCGTCGGGTCGGATGCCTGCCTTGCGCCGGGCTTCGATTACGGCGAAGGGGGTTTGGAGGGTGTTGAGCGCGTCGACGGCGTCCTGTGAGTAGATTGGGTTAGCAAAGCTTCGTTCTGCAGTGTCCCTCGTCCTCTCGTCTTGCGATCCTCAATTGCGTGGCTCTATGAACCCAAGCTTGAAGCTGCGAAAGACATCCCGATCTCCGACCTCGGAGACAACAGCTTGAAGCTTCACAACGGGGGAAACATCTGGAGAAGGCTTACATTATACGTCCTCCCGGCGGTAGCCATCATTCGTCGTCCTAGATAGCGCGGGAATAGAAAATTCCTGCTGTTGCTGTTGCTGATGCTGCTGCGCGTGAGGCGTATTACGTGGCGGGATGCATGATGCATCAAGGACGTCGGGATGCTCCCTCTCTTTTTTTTTTTCCGGGGAGAGGTCCTTTGCGGCGGGGCTCGAAATGGAGGGGTTACCAGAGCTCTCTCTTGAACTTTGGTTCAGGTACCTTACTTTGGGAAGGTAGAATTTCGGGGGGTGGTAAGGTAAGCTGCTGCGTCTGCTGCCGGCTTTCGGTGGGGGGTTCATTCTGGTTATATGCGGCTTCCATTGGGGGTGCGCTTCGGGACTCGAGCCGGGAGAGGGTGTGTCCGGGGGTCCTACGCTCGGCGCTCGTCCCGCTTCCTGGTTTACGTCTACTCTGTATTGGATTGAACGGGCCGGCCACCAGCTTGTGCCGATGCGTCAGAGACCTCTCTCAAACTCAATTCGTCTTTTGCTTTACCTAGCCTGAATTTATGATAACGTCTTCTTTTTGGATTTGAGTGCTTGGCCCAAACCCAAAATGAGTACTGCTGTTTACTCGTTGGTACGGCATGGAAACAGATAGTACGGGATATCACAAGCAGACAGACTTTGATAAAATACACTGCCTTCATTCAAGTCTATGGGCTATGTCTTACACAGACCAGAGGTCTAGGCTATCTCACTCTCTCTTCGTCTTCTAAATATTCCCCCCCATGAAGAGCCCCCCTTCATACTAGAACAAAAGAAAAAAAAATGTTTCCCGTCCATTATTCTACCTTGAGACTCTGCAGGCGAGCTTCTGTCGCAATGACCTACAATTGAACACATTAGCTATCAATTATTCTTCACATGCATTTCAGGGGGGTGTACTCACATCAAGAGCCTGCTGGACCTCAAGAACCTTCCTCACCTCACCGAGCCAGTCTCTGCTCAGCGTCTTCGCCCAGCCCTGCAGACCGTTCATCTCACGGGCTGCAGCATCCAGGTTACCCTCCTCCAACAGCGTCTGCGTACGGGTGAGGATGCTCTCGACGTCGTCGCCGCCAACCAGACCCTGCTTCTTGAACATGACCTTGCTGAGGAGGTAGCTTGACGCGTGGCTGGCGACGCCGGCCTCCTCGGGCAGGAGGGACGCCTTGCGCACCTCGTTGGCGACTATCCTGAAGCGATCGATGAGCTGTGCCGCGTTGGACAGACCGCGCTGGTAGGCCGACGGGTTGATCGAGGCAATGGCCGCGTTGACGACGGGGTCCTCGGCCGCGATCTCCTTGAGCGCAACGAGCTCACGTGTAAACGGCTTGGGCGTCGTCGCGTTCTCCAGGCTGGCGCGGACGGCGTCCACGGCGACGTGGAGCTGCTGGGTGCGCAGGTTGGTGTCGACAACCTCGTTCCAGCCCGTTGTCAGCTTCTCGAGGTCCTGGACGGCCGCCGACAGGTTGTTGAGCTTGCCGAGGCGGCCCTCGCGCTCGGCCTCGACGTGGCCCTGCACCTCGGCGACGAACTCCTTCTTCAGGGCGAGCGCCTGCTCAAGCAGCTGGTTGTTGAGACGCTCCTCGTTAAGCTGTTTCTCGCGCTCCAGCAGGAGCTTGACGCGCTCGTTGTAGGCATCCTTGACCTTCTTCATCTCGTCCTCGAAATCCTTTCTCCACTGGGTCTCTTGGGCGACCATGGCGGACTCGACGCGGGCAATCAGGTCGTTGGCGGCCTTGTCAAAGTCGGCGACCTTGGCCTCAACCTCGGAAGCGGCCTTCTCCTCGACCGAAGACTTGATGGCCTTGATCTTGCCTCCGACCTTGCTCAACTCGCTCTTGGCCTTGGCAATGGTGGGAGAGTAGCGACCGTGGGCCTTGTCGGCGTTGATGACGGTGATGATGTCGTTGAGCATGCGGACGAGGTCCTGGACGACGGGCTCGGTGGCATCCTCAATCTTCAGGGCGTCGATCGGGGCAATGGGAGGGAATCGCGAAGGCTCGTTGACCTCGGGGGCCTTGAATCCGTTCGAGTCCTCCTTGGGCGCAGCGGCAGCAGGCTTGGTCTCCTTGGCCGGCTCGGGAGCAGCCTTGGGAGCCTCTGGCGCAGGCTTGGGCTTCTCGGCCGGCTTGCTAACCTCCTCCTTGACGGCGACAACCTTGGCAGCAGCCTTGTCAACAGCGCTCGACTGACGACCAGCGGGCTCGCCGTTATCGGCTACTCTCCATGACGCGCCGCTCTGGGCGGGGATCTTGACCTGGCTACCGGTATCTCTTCCCTTGATCTTGTTCGAGAGGTTGGGGAATCGCTTGCGGAAGTCTGCTTCCTCAAAGTAGAGGACGGCCTGCTCGCCAAAGGGAATATATTCGGTGAAGAAGTCGTGGAAGTTATCGTTGACGCGCGAGTACCAGACACCACCTCCGAAGCCGACGGCGCCGAGGATGGCGAGTGTCAAGACGAGGTTCCTCAATCGGCGGAAGAAACCCTTCTTCTTGGGCGCGGCAGCGGCGGGCGACTCGGGCGGAGGAGCAGCGGCAGCGGCAGCGGCAGCCTCGAGGTTGGGAACGACGACCGCGGGATCGGGAGTCGGGGGCGTGAGAGGGACCTCTTGCTTGGGGATGGTCGGCTCGACGGCGGAAATCTCGGGGACGGCGCTCTTCTCTGAGGTGATGGTCTCTGATGCCGGCAGGACGGCGGGTTTGGAAGGGTCGACAGCGGGCTTCTTGTCGTCGGCGAAATGCCTCCTCTGGCGGGCGGCAGCGGCCTGCCATTGGCGGCCAACAACGGCCGTCGCAGGCCTGTGGCCGAGCACCCTCACGGATCGAATCGACGTTCGCAACATGAGGGGATGCAATGGGCCGACAGGGCGTAATTGGGGGTGAATAATGTCGAGGGGGAGTTGCAGTGGGAGGTGTTCCGTACCTTTTGGTGACGGAAATCCAGGCACAAAAAAGCTCAGGGAAAAGTTCGGCTAAAACTGGGTGAGCTTCCAGCCGCGCCGTGCTGGTCCGCTGCGAGCGCCGAGCGGCAGGAACCGGGATCTCAGCCAGGACCACCTGCCTATCCGTTCCTTACCAAGAGCTCACGTCACTCGTCACTCGGCGGCGACACCTGTCAATTATTGACACGCGGCTTTCACATTCTCCCATCTTTATCAAGCTGATGTATATATCGCCTTTTTTTTATGGTGATAATACAGGTCTCTGGCTTTGCGTGACTTTTCTCCCAAGAGCCTTGACAACTTGGTGAATTAATAGGCGGGAAAAATCCAAACAAAAGAAACTACGTCACCAAGCTTTACTTCCTTGATGGCAGCATTTGGTAATCTTCATCGGTATCCATGAGCAGCTATACGTCCATGGGAGCATGTGCAGCATATCACCGAAACCAGCAGTGAAACGATAAGAAATTGTATACGGCCCCATCCTTGAGAAACAGTTGCCTCTATCGCATACTGTACATCAGAAAAATGCTGCAGGATGCTTCCCCCAGTAAAGTGAATCCGTTCCCGTACACCGTCTTATCCCAGGACTGTCCCTACACCCGAGTTGCCGCAACCGAATGAAGACTCGAAATGTAAAATCACACACACACACACACACACGCAACTCTCTCCCTTCACCCTCTTGGCTCTTCCTCTGCGCTCTGCCTCTCAAAAAAAAAACGTACTGTTGATATTAAAAAAGCTGGGTCTGGCATGCCCATTCTTTGGTGTAGGGATTTGCGATAATGCTCTTCTTCAGCCCAAACCCATCCAGCCCAGACACCGTCGTGTACATGCTTGTATTGGTGCGGTGCCTGACTGATGGGTGCCCTAGTGTAGCCTGCCAACGGGAGCCTGCCTCGCCTCGGACGTGATGCCGATCTCTCGCTGATTTCCTTGGACCCGTTCGAAATGTGATGATGGTGTTGATGATGGTATGTGAATCTCTCCTCACTTAGCAGCTGCAAGGCCCGCTGACGTTGCTGCCAGGAGTCTCGGGTTGAAGGCTCACGCCCTGTCGCTGGCCTGGCCGGGCGTGCCTAGGGCCGGCCTGGTCAAGCGGCAGCTTCTTGGCGATAGCAGTGAAGAGGTCCTTGACATTCTCGGCCGTCTTGGCTGATGTCTCGAAGAAGAGGAGTCCGGCCTCGCGCGCATAGGCCTCGGCGTCAGCCGTAGGCACCGCTCTCTTATCGGGCTGCTCGGTGACCAAATCCAACTTGTTGCCGGCGAGGGCGATGATGATGTTTTCGTTGGCTTGTCTCTGCAATTCCTTGACCCACGCCTTTGCCTTATCCAGGGATGCCTTGCTGCTGTTAGCATTCTTGTGACGGACGCCATAGGTTATCATTCAGCCTACAGATTGGGTAATGTCGTAGACTACTACAGCGCAGTTTGCGTTGCGGTAGTACATGGGTGCAAGGGACTTGTATCGCTCCTGTCCGGCCGTATCCCAAATCTCGAACTTGACTGTGGTGTTCTCGTCGAGGGAAATGGTCTGGGTCAGGAAGGCGGCACCGATGGTCGATTCGCGGTAGGAGTCGAACTGGTCCTGTAGTGGCACGAGGTTAATGGACTGTGAAGACGAACCAGTTCTGCATCGGGAACTTACCTTGACGAAACGCAACACGATGGAGCTCTGAGCAACAGGTTAGCACCAACGGATGGAATTCCCATGAGGATCCGGATAATGAAATACCTTTCCAACAGCGGACTCGCCTGTGTGTCATCATACCCATTAGCTATTATTGTTGTAAACGATCGGGCGGCAAGGAAGAATGCATACCTAGCAGGACGAGCTTGAACTGCGCAAAGCGCGTATTCATTCCGCGCGCACCAGGAGCACCGGGGCCTCGGGCAGCCATTTTTGCGTAATGTGAAGGAGAGGTTTTGGAAAGAAGCGGGCGATGACAAGAAAGTCGATGTTTGATGAGCCTAACTCGCGGTGCGGGAGGCTGTTCTAGGAAGGCAGCTGTATCGAATGTGGCCGGACGGACTCGTTCGCCGGCGTTCGGAAAAGGTGGTCCAAGTCGTAATGGAGGAAATGAGGGCGATGTTACGTTGATCGGAACAGAGATCGAGAGTCGCGAAAGCAGCCGTCGTGGATCAAAAGATTCGTGGTTGCGCGGCGGGAGGGGCGAGGGTGCGAGTACGGTACTGCGTAAGGTAGAGGTCGGTGGTGGAATGTAAGGTGGGAAGCAGCGGGATGGGAGTTGATGGTAAATCGGGGCCTGGAATAATGTGACTGCCTTGGGGACAGCCGTTCTTGGGGGTCTCGGGGGGGGGGGCGTGTGGGTGCTGTTGGGTGGTGCGTGTGTGTCGGTGATCACTGACGCCCATTCACTGTCTTCTGAGGTGGTCTGTCTAGTACTTCGGCGTCTTATTACGGGCTGCGTAAGGTGAGGTACCTTACTGCGTAAAGGGTTGAGACTTGAGGGTATCCTAGCGCCCGACTAATAAGGTACCTTACCACATTACCTAAGGGCCAAGCTGTCTGCAAGTCTGCACTCTGCAGTGGAGCGCTGAGATGATACTTACCAGTCGCCGGGCTGTCAGGTGCAGATGGACGGACGGCCGGGGAACACCTACGACCCCGATGACTTCTGACCAGGTGCCAGACACGCCAGAAGGCCGACTAAGGTGACCTCCAGCTCAATAGTTGGGCAAAGTGGTTTGCGTTGATTGGCCGACGGGAGGATTTTGCCGTGTTATGTAACCTCTCCCGGCCTGCTGGGCATGGAATAAGGTAGCAGGGCACCTCAGTCTGCCGCCGCCTGCAT